AATCACAATGAATCACAATGCATGGACAGGCTTATGCTCAATTAAAACATGTCAATAATCACAGTTACATCCTTGCTGGTTACTGTGTGCTTTTAGAAAGCAAAGTTAGCTTTCCTCAGGGAAACACCGAGCACATACATCTCCCTTATCATCTTGTGCACCACAGGGTGCTGTTATGGGTGGCTGGCTGCTCATGATGGCAGAGTTTGTGAGAATGGTAGGGAGGAAGGAGGTCAGTGGATGTAGCTGTTTAACTCTGGGTGCACCATACTTGGATGATTTAGAAGAGAGAGCACAGGCTTGGGAGATAGATAAACTAGATTCTGAATTTAATTTCCATCACATATTTTGTATCAACTTCTTGGAGCCTCAGCTTCCTCACCTATAAAATGGGCACAAAGCAGATGTCCTCTTAGATTTGTTTGAGGATAAGTGGAACACATGTAAATTACCGCTTGGAATATAGCAGATGCTCAATATTCCTTTCCCTCTAGTCAGTTTTCAGGTTTGTTGCTGGCAATTGGCATAGACCAGGGGTTCACAGCCTTTGTCTGTAGAGAGACAGATAGTAAATATTTTAGGTTTTGTGGGCCAGGAGGCAAAATTGAAGATATAATGTACATACTTATATAACAAAGAAAAAAACCAAATTTCTACCAATTAATTGTTGAAATTCAAAATATAACAATATTAGGGTAAAGTTTTTATAATACAGATCTACCAGTGAAAAGAAAAGGACTCTTTTTCTGGGGAGACAACATTTCACTTAATTAGGGTTCAAAATTAGTGTTCCCTATCACCAAATTGATAGCACCTATGTATCTGCACAAACAATGGGAATAACCATGGTTATTCCTAATTCGCAAGCCATAAAAAAACAGGTAGCAAGCTGAATTTGGTCCACAGGCCTTAGGTTACCAATCCCTGGCGTAGACCATTTATTAATAATGCCAATCTCTGCTTGTGCTCTGACCCAGTCATTCATGATGCAGAAATAATTTGAAACCATGACTGATACATAAGCAACTGTTAGAAGTCTACAATCTGGAAAGGAGGATGAAATGATTAAATCTTTAAATAAACAAGCATTTGGAAGCTGAGGGAGTACTTAGTCTTTTTGATTAAATGGTTCTTTAAAGAATATCCCTTTTTGTGGCTGAAATCTGGAAAACAGTAGAAAGAAATGATCAGGCCACACAAACTGACCACCTACACAGAGAGATCAAGCAGACAAAGCTCATGGAAACAGTTACTCAAACAGGTTCTTTCTGCTTTCCATCAAATAAGAAATGGACATGCCTGCTTTTTAGCGAGAGTGTAGCTAAAGGAGGGATTAAAATTTGGCCCATCAAATACCATTGGGTCCCTTGCTGCTACTCTTCCACTGACCTGGGCCAGCTAATGCTCAGATGTGAGTCCATAGCAGACAGAGGCAGATAAGTACACAGTGCTTTACAAGGCCTGGCTGTATGGGGTTCGCAACAATGGGTCTGGCTCCACCTACACAGGCGGAGGGAGCAGGGAGGACGGAGACTTCAGTAACATAAATGAGATGCCTAAAGTAATTTGTGGTGTATGTTGATGAGAGTGCATTGACATAAAATCAAGCAAAATACGTTACTAAGGATTAAACAATTCTAAAGCAATAAATAATTCAATATTCCATCCAGAATGCTGACATCCACAATGAGAAAGCATGGCAGGATGGTCACAGCATGGCTGCCACTGCTCCAGACCTCGTGGCAGTATCTAGTATGGCTGTGACTGAAGTCTGGGCAAACCACAAAGGTGTTGAGGGGTTCCTGAAGCTTTCCTCAGGAAAGCTTCTGTGGCATCTCAGCAGATTTTACAGAGAAGCACAAACGATTAATTCTCCAGTAGGAAGAAGAAATCTTGATTTTGACACATGTGTTTTTAAAATCCCAGATATGTATTTTTAGAATGCTGATCATTTTGCAAGAGATTCACTGGAGGAGAGCAAAGGGGAGCAACCTGAGTACACAAACAAGCATCCCAATCTTATCCGATTCTGATTTACCTAGTTAAATGACCCACAAATGTTCTGATGAAAACATGTACAAAAAACTATTCTGGGGCATATTCTTTACACAAAGGGAACACATTTTAAAGATTTTATTTATTTATTTGAGAGAGAGAGAATGAGAGATAGAGAGCATGAGAGGGAAGAGGGTCAGACGGAGAAGCAGACTCCCTGCTGAGCAGGGAGCCCAATGTGGGACTCGATCCCGGGACTCCAGGACCATGACCTGAACCGAAGGCAGTCGCTTAACCAACTGAGCCACCCAGGCGCCCCAACAAAGGGAACACATTTTAATGAAAAGCTAATATACAGTGGAAATTATCCACTGAAATAGAAGGGATCAAGGTGGGCATCAGGGTGAAGCAACATGGCAAAACACATCTGAGAACTGAATTGCCAACAGAGAAATGTGTTTCTGAATATGTGAGACATAGATGTGGGAGAGGGGCAAAACACATAGAGCCACAAGGGTCCAAGGTCTGTTAGAAAGGATCCAAGTAGGATAAAGAAGATGTGGTGTGTGTGTATATACATATACACAAATTATATATATTTACATATATATAAATTATATATATTTATAGAAATATATAATGGAATTATATATAATGGAATGGAATATATTTATATAAATACATGTAATAGAATATATATAAATATACAACGGAATATTACTCAGCCATGAAAAAGAATGAAATCTTGTCATTTGCAACGACATGGATGGAACTAGAGGGTATTAAGCTAAGTGAAAAAAGTCAGCCAGAGAAAGACAAATACCATATGATTTCACTCATATGTGGAATTTAACAAACAAAACAGATGAACATAGGGGACGGGAAGGAATAATAAAATAAAACAAAAACAGAGAGGGAGGCAAACCATAAGAGCCTCTTAATCTCAGGAAACAAACTGAGGGTTGCTGGAGGGGAGGGGGGTGGGGGGATGGGTACCTGGGTGATGGGCATCGAGGAGAGCACGTGATGGAATGAGCACTGGGTGTTGTATGCCACTGATGAATCACTAAATTCTACCCCTGAAACTAATGATATACTGTATGTTAACTAAATTGAATTTTAAAAAAAAATTTAAAAAAAGGAAAAAGAAAGAAGAAAGGATCCAAGTAGGAAATCTCGCTATTTACTATTTGTGTGAGAGAAAAGCCCATAATTTGAATTCACTGAAAGCTTGTGGGTATTACCAGAGACTGCCATGCCGGTGGTGATAAAGCTTTTTAGGGCAAGAATTTTTAAAATTTAAGGTGATTGAGAAAGTGCTTACAACTTCTTGTAATTAACTTCTTCTTGGAAAAATAGCTGTTTATGAGGCATAAATACTTTTAAATGTGTTGTTTAGCTGAGTAGTAATTTCCAGCCAGAGAGTATTTAGCAAATGAGCTTTAGTGGCAGGTTTAAAAAATATTTCTTCTCGGAGCTGATGCATATACATCTTTTCTCCATTTGTGTATCAAGAGAACACAGAACAAATGCATTTTCTCTTGGTTTATCGAAGAAATTGGGGTAAACTACACAATTTTCTTAAGGATAAATGTCAAAAAGAAAAAACTGAAGTATACTTCCAAGCAAAATTTATTAGGTGTCTATTCAAGAAAAACACAATGACCTTCGCTTGTAAGAATTCAAAGTCAATCACCTGAAAGCCAGGTACGAATATTTTTTTCTTTTAAAATCAGATACAGAGAGTAGAAACAGTAATTTTTCTTAAATATGACAGGCAACAGATATTGAAATCTTTTCTCATAAATGGCATCGAAGATAATTATTCATTTATCAGCAAAGCTGCATGCAGTTGACTTAATTTCAAACCCAAAGCCTTTAAGTTATAAAGCTAGTTGTGAACTTGACAGTTACCAAGGTAGGCTACTCAAAGATGTTTCTTTACCTTCTTACTAATGAAACTCCTCTGTAATCAGTACACTTCAGTTTGGCTGCTAAGATCTTTTAAGTCCATAAACTTTTGCATAAATGCTATCTTACAGAATTGCACAATCAAGGCGTGCTTGTGATCTGTTGGATACGTAAAGGATAACCTGTTGGAAAGTGTTTTAGCTTAAAGTGAAAGATAAAGACCAAATTAAGAAATTCCCATTGTTTTGACAACTAAATAGTCTGTACAAAAAAAGCGCAAACATATGTACAAAATTCTAGAGTCTACGTACATTGTGAAAAGATCAATTACTGTCCACAGAAGAAAGCCATAAAAATTTTATCTATAAGGTGTTCAAGATCCAAATATGAATAGTTCTTATGCAAAGTCATAAGAAATACAAAGCTAGTTCTCAAAGTATGTGTAATTCAGGCACTGCTAGCCACATTAAATCTTTCAGGTCCCAAAGCCATTTTGTAAATTTCTACTTCAGGGCAGAAAATATAACCTGAATGATTTAACATTGCTTCTAAAAAGTGCCTCATGGATTCCAAGGAAATATTTTACACACACCAGGAAAATCAGGCTCAACATATTCCTGTCCTCAAATGTTGCCAGGATTCTGAGTTCCACAGAAGAAAAATAACTATCATAGTAAAAATAATTGTATTGATCATAATCCTTGCTAAAACCAGCCTTAATACTTGTGATGCTTCTGAAGTACTCTATTTCTATAAAATAACGTGTGGGATTCCTTTACATTTCCATAAAATGTACAACATACCATATGGATTGTCTGTTCTTGCACAATCTCAAATGTATATGTGTGCACACAGTGAAAGCTTACTTATGAATATTGCTTACAGATACTTTCAAGTGTCTACGTTAGAATAATTCTTTGCACCTCTCACTAACACTGCTTTTATTAAAATTTTACCAGATAAATAAAACACTAAGAGCTCATTGTTCATGATGCTGATTATTACATTTTAATATAAAATAGCAATGCAACTTTACAACACAATAGGTTTTTGCTTGCTTTTTGTTTTTTTTTTTTTTTTTTTTTTTTTTGTAGTCTAGCTAAACCTCTTATACTCTCATGATTATTACCAAAGGCTCTTATTCACTTACGGTTTGCACTTCTAAAAAGTACAGAAAAAAAACTGCAAGAAAAGACTCCTATTTGAAAACTCACATTCAATCAACAAAATCACACTCATCCGAATTAACGTTCCTACGCTTGCTTTAGATTTTGTAATCACTGTGCGTATTACAATATATAAGTGCAGGCAAACAATAGCCAAAGTACAGTTTTCATGTCGTGTAAACCAGGACACTAGGCAAACTCGTGAAAGGAAAATATACTGCCAAGCTAAGAATGTGAAAATGCAAACCACAGCATTTAGGAATAAACAATCTCTGGTTGCCTGAGGGGAGAACATCGTTGTTCAAAGTGGACTAGAGAGATTCTTGAGATATTTCCCTTTTTTTTTTTTTTTGCCTCAAATACTTAACCCTTTCTAACTATAATGCTTTTCTTTCTGATCTCGCATAGCGACTTTTCAAAGTTTAGAGCAGAAATCAGGAATATGCACGTTCACACGGAAGCAAGTCTCCAGCCTCCCCCCCGGGCTCGGCAGCGGCGGTCCCTTTGCTGGTGGTTTGGAGGCAGGTAGAGATGGTGAGGGGTGGGTGACTTCTAGAGGAGACTGCAAGGCAGGGCAGCAGGAGGCTTGAGGGGCTCTTTTCGGGCAAGGTTATGCAGATGTGGTGCTGAAAGGCGGCATAAAAAGGAGGGAGAGTGATTCACAGCCTCTTGACATAGTTTCCGGGAAAAGTACCAAAGAATTTGGTTCTTCTTGAGGTTCCTGAAAATAGAAGCAATCAATGAAATGAGCAATGATGAAATATCAGTTTATATATGTGGGCTTGAAAACGTTTCACTTTCGAGGGCCCTCACGAAGAAAGCAGCCTTGCGGGCTTTGGAAAAGAAAGAAGGCTCACATTAAGACCCTAGGAAGACTAAGGGAGCAGTTTCCTCTGTACTGCCTGATGCCTTCATTGCCTCTCAAGCTTAAAACCTGCCCTCCCACACACAACCAGGCTAAACAGAAAAGCTCAGCCTCTCAGCCCAAAGGGAAAGACCATCCTGCTGAGGAGGTGGGTTTTTAACGTAATGATACTAAGTGGGACGATGCTCCATCGTCAAGGCTGCTAGACAAGAGTGAGGACCAGAAAAGCTCTCGAGAAGTGACGTTCTCAAGTACAATCTGAATCAAGTCGAGGCCGAGCAGTGGAGCCCAACAGCAAGGCTCAGTGAGCAAGGGGTCTGTCACCCTTCTTCAACAGGGTGTAACATGTCCCATTGTATGATCTTGTCTACAAATGTTTTCTCAGAAGAGCTCTAGTCTTCCTTTTTTTTTTTTTAAAAAAAAAGCTTTATTTATTTTGAGAGAGAGAGAGAGAGAGAGAGAGTGCATAAGTGGGGGGAGGGGCAGAGGGAGAGGGAGAGAGAGAATCTCAAGCAGACTCCCACTGAGCTGGGAGCCTGATGTGGGTCTCCATCTCATGACCCTGAGATCATGATCCGAGCGGAAATCAAGTCAGCCGCTCAACCAACTGAGCCACCCAGGCACCTCCTATTGTTCTTTTAAGAAGGTAAGAATGGGATTGTCTTTTAAGTGGTAAGAATGGAACTTCTCTCTACTTTTACCAAAAATTAAAATGAAGATGAATCATTGAACTTTAGGGTATTTAACATCGGACCTAGTAAGTGGATGAATTGCTGACTTCATTTTGTTTTCTCCAATTAGATCCTCACTGCTGACACCTCACATTGCCCACTGAACAGCGTGTTAATATTTCTCATCTAGGAAACCCTGTGGTTATGGTTCTTAGATCTCAGTCTATCCTGGTTGGTGCTATTGAAAGAAATTTTCTTCTCTCCATTGAATTGGAAATAAAACCAGCAGAAAATCACATATACCTGAAGCAGTAAATAGTAAACCATATTAAAAATGCAGGGGTGCCTGGGTGGCTCAGTCAGGTAAGCGTCCGACTCTTGATCTCAGCCTCAGGTCTTGATCTCAGGGCTGTGAGTTCAAGCCTTGCATTGGGCTCCATGCTGGGAGTGGAGCCTACTTAAAAAAAATGCGGTGCAATGTTGCTTTGGGATTACACGGTGCATATGTAATGTGTGGAAGATCAGAGGCATCATGAAATCAAAGAAAGCTTTACTATCACAAATGAGCAAACACAAGCAAATTATAAATTGGCCAAAGGCATCTGAAAGTAAGTGTCCACATACCCACAAACCATCCATCGTCACACTTTTCCATCACATCAATGACATCACTTTCTCTGAGCTCCAGCTCATCTTCATTCCTAGGAGTATAGTTATACAGAGCCTGAAACCTTAAACAGGACAAATGGATGTGTTTAAAGACAAATCTTTACACCTTTGTGAAACTACAGAAGATTGTACATAGTCATTTTACTTTGAACATTTCTATCCTTATTAACGTGAAATTAGATAGTGTAAATCTTTGGTAGGCATGTAACGTAAATAGAAATATTTGGACTTTCATGGGGCTTAGACCCACTCTGATAGCATTTCAAAACTACAAGAAGGAATATTTGTTGTAATATCCACAAGGTGGACTAAAACATTTTGACATTTATAAATCAGACCTGTATTCCAATTGTCTGTCTAGTGATAGATATCATGAGGACATTAAATAGTACAGATTATTAAAGAAGTCATGTGTGCATTATTCAGTGATTAACAATGAGAAGGGATTATTGAAATAATTTTATATCAGAAAGAATTACTGATAGAATGCCATCCCTTTCCTTTCTCTGCCTGAATTCATGGAGAGCCTTTATTTTGGTGACATTGATCACTAAAATCAAATTTGTGGTAATAAAATAGTATTTATTTTAATGCATATTAACGTGGACTGGCATTTTGGAAAGTGAAAACACAAATTCTAGCAGCTACACAGCTCAGGAAGCATTTGATATGCAGGGAACATGAAAACTTCATATTATTACCAAAATTTTACCAGTATCATGAGGGGGACTTAAAAAAAAATCAGTGAATTTGTTTTTGCTGTGTCTTCTAACAGTTATGTAATTCTGCCATTGTACGATAATAAGAACCACATTTCAGGACACTCCGGATTTTTTAAAGTCAAGTTTAGAAAGTAGATAATGTTGAATACTGCTGGGACAATGATTTATTTCTAATTACTTTCTTCAGTCAGAAAATGACATTTTGGTGGAACAAAGCTTTCCTACCATTTGAACTCAAACACGTCATAAATCAGGGACATGGCTCCGTTGGCTTCCCTCTCTGTCCATGAAATTTTTCATATTGGGGGACCCAGATAAAGCTGACTTCTGGCAGGTGTTTGGCGCGGCGGTAGTTGTCTGGGAGAGAGCTGGTAAGGCGTGGTGCCTAACGTCTCCCCGGAATACATTATCCACCCCAGCGGACACCAGACCCTGAGATCACAACGGGAGAGATTTCTTTCCCTGTTAATATTTTGTCCTCCCAGAAAACATTTTCTGCCTCTTGTACGCTTTTGAAACCGGGCATCTGATGTCTTCTGTTGAGAAAGGATTTCTGATTGTGGAGAAGGACAGAGAAAGGTAGCCAGATTCCCAGAGCAGTGGTTAAAAAAAGACAGGGAAGGGGTGAATACCAACACTGCTTAATTTGGGTGTTTGCATGGGGCCAGCCCTGATTGGAGTAGACAGATTACTTTGTTGTTTGCTTTAAAGATCTGATTTTGAGGCTGCTTAGGTGAAGGGATGGTATCTTTTGTATATTCATATGGGGAAAGTTGATTTCAACCTGGTCCCTTTTCTGATGTCACAGTCATTCCTGGGCTGCTAACTCAATGGATATACATTGAAGCTCTCACTTGGGGAAACACCGATTCTCTGATCGAGCTTTACCGGCTTTGGCCTTCTTTCCCTCAGGCACGTGTCCAACCTCATATGGAGAAAGGCCTATTTAAGGCCACCAAACCCCAGCTGCTTGAGGAATCTCAAGGTCCCAAGAGCTAAAAAAAAAAAAAAAACCCCACCAAAATTGGCACAAACTCCTACTTCACTTTGGTATGACAAAAGCCAGTGTGCTTGTCAAAATTTACTTACCATTCGGGTTTAATTAGGCCACACACAAAAAAGAAAGAAAGAAAAAATTGGGAGTTTCATGGAAACATAAACAAACCTTCCGGAAATCCCCCCCTGCCTCTGTTGGCTTTCAAAATCAGTGTTGCACGACAGGAAACGCAGCCGAATTACAGTTAAAATGCTATTTTGAAAGATGTATTGGTGAGATGAATGATGGTGGGGGATCAGGGTGCTTCAGAAAGAAATTTGTCTTTTAAATAAGCAACGCTCAGCCAAGCTTGAAGCTGTTTCTATAAACTTGCAATTTTTCCTATGACATGGTTTATCACCATTCTGAATTGCAGCAACATTATAACATGATGTTCCTATTTGCACTCCAATCTAGTTTTTAAACGAAAGAGATTTAGTGACACCCCATAATCCCACTCATTGGGTTTGTAATCAGATAGAAATTTAGGACAGAACGTTTTCTAATGTCCATAGCAGGGCCTTGAAAATGTGCCTTTTCCCACCTGTGAGCTCTGTGGTTGCATAAACACCCAAATGACCCCACGTAGAAGTATTAACTTTATAGGACAGAAAATGGTATAACATAATGTACCTATCAATTCATAAACTCCTTAACAGCTGCTTAAATACAATGTGTTGGTAATGCAAGAGACCTGAACAGGCCTGGAATTTATTTTTTTGGTGATGTGTTCCTATCATCTGCTTGAATAAGGAAACAAAGCAAAACTTTAGAATTACAAGTCTTATTTGATTTTTTCCCCCCAATTAAGTGAAGCTTTAAGTGATTCTTACTTTCAACCTGTTCTTTTCATAAGCTTTTCCCTAAGGAGCAAAGCTTTCTGGCTGTACTTAGTGAGAGGTGAGAGATGGTTTCTGAAGAGCATGCTGTTAGCTCAGTGCCAGGTCTCCGAGGAGTGAGGAGCGGGTCAGTGGTGAGGAAGGCACCAGGCCCCCCAGAAGGCCCTGCTGACTTGTTTCACCCCAGGTGAGCAGAATGTGGGCAGCGGGCTCCAGAGGGAGGCTCTGCTGGTGCTCAGGTCAGCCTGACAAGGTTTAGTTCCCTCCCTGCTCCTTCCCAGGGGTCAAACTCCTGACTTACTTTGTCATGGGCAAAACTGAGCAGGAAAAGGCCCGCGCGCGCGCGCGCGCGCGCACACACACACACACACACACACACACACACACACACACAAAGAAAATCTTAAAGACGATGTGTGACATCTTCAATTTAAATTGACTTAATAGGTCAGAAAGGGGGGCGAATTTGAAAGTGTGGAAAAGCATTTAACTGAATGACAGTGAATGTCTTTAATACACTGCCATTTCCAAAGACCCTTGTAAGAATGTAACTCTGGAATTATGTTACTAACTTATCACTTCTGGTCTACTTTAACATTCTTCTGGTCTTCAAATAATGTGTACAAACAATGTTAGGACATTTCTGTGTCTTTCAAGCTGTGGTTACTAGAATTTGCATGGTGAGTAGAGCAGAGAGGTAGGCAGATTCATAAATCTTGGGCATCACTGGGTCATTGGAAAGTTTTTCTGATATGTAAATCAGTCTTCTATGCAAAAGCACAGGTTTCTTTTTAAAATGAACTTCTGTTCTCCGTTATGAAGGATGGAGACCATTGTAATTTCTCTTCATGGAAGAGCCTCATGTTAGTTACTTTGTTCTCTCTCACTTGCAAAGTTGTAACGGGCCTCTGTTTGGGTACATCAATTGTCTATTTTGTGAGTCAAAGTTAGTCTCGGACTTAGAAGATAAGAAGAATACTTACGGTTCCCCCCCACCTTGAATGTTTTCATGAGTAAACACAGGACGCTGTGGCTGAAATGAAATGATTTTCAATGTAATCAGTGTTTAAACCGGTACTAAGTAAAAGATAATTTGGATAATGGCATGGTACTTTTCTTGACATTTAATATTTCCTGTTGTAAAAAACCAAAAAAACCAACAAATAAAGGGGTTCTGCAGGATTAATAATTCAAATGTTTTGAAGGACGCTTTACATTAAATCAAAATAACCAAGGGTCAAATGTTTTGAATATATCTACAGTCTAATCTGCTCAAGCATTAAGGAAAAGTCAGGGTTTAGTCCCATTGATTTTTCAAAGGCCAGGAATATGGCAAGAACATAGACACCAAACCACTAGAATGAGAAGTCTGGACACCTTCATACAACCTTACTCTTCAGCGTTTTCTCAAACAAGCAGAAAATAGGCCACATTTAGTCTAACAGCAAAGTATCCACATTCATTCTACTTTTCCTTCACAGACAACATTTTCACATACAGTACAGATGAAAATATAGATAGGCAGACATCCCATGCTACATTGGAATTAACACTCTGTTCTCAGTGTGGAGAAAACACATGCATTTTTAAAAAGAGAAAACAGAGAACTTTAAATAGAAGTAACAAACAATATCCAGGTAACATGTAACATTTTACCTTAGAAGAGAAATATTGGTAGAAATTCCCAGTGCACTGAACTCTCAAAAGAGTTTCCTTTCTTTTTAAACTAAGCATCAAGACCAGTATCTGTAATAGATACTTATAATATTGGAAATGACAAACCTTAGCATCCCATATATCCACATAAATATTGCAACGATTGAAAGTTAACATGTTTGTTGACTATGTAAACAACATCGTTGATACTGACTACCTAAATGTTACTGTTTTAGGAAAAGAAATACATTACAATTCATTCACAACACACTTCAAAAGCATCCTCTTCTTCTTGATGACTACTGAATCAGTTGGTAGGTCCATGTCCTGAGAAATCAGGGCCAATTGCTGGGTCCCAGAGTTATGAATGGATTACTGACAGGCTGGGAATTTTCCTCTACAAATTGTCCATAGAAATCCCGCTGGCCCAAGAATGGATGCAGAAATTTGGGCTTCCTTTCAGTCTGAGTCTATAATCTGCTCTCCTTCCTAAATTCTTTATTCACTCCCTTCCATCCAAGCTGTCTATCTAGCATAAGACTAAGTACTTTACTAAAACTTGAAGCATTCCATCTATTAGTTGGAAGTTTATTCACACTATTCTTAGAAATTTCACTCAACAGTCTGCATGGAATATATAAAGTTAAGACTAAAGAGTGGATAAAAATTTTTGGACACAAGCATGACTTAAGAGTATAATACTTCTTTAAGTCAATATAAAGTTACTAACAATGTATCTATTATTAAAATGATAAGATATACTATTTTAAGAATTATGAAGACTAAACAATTTTTCTAGCCATGTTAAGGCCATTTAATTCAATGTAAACATATTGAATAATTCTATAACTATTATATATAAGTAATAAATAGATGAGTAAAAATAAATAAATATATGTAAAATAAATACAAGTTATCCATAAGCCTGTGCCCTATTAGATTTCTTCAAATTCTTGTCCAATCATGTATACATAACTTTTATGCAGGAATAAGATACATGTATATCAACTGCTATTAATATTTTATAATAATTTTCCAGTCTTCTTTTCTCAGTCTTCATTTTCATTTTAAATCACTGCAGAAAAATATTCCCTCACATATGTGTAGATATATTTTTTAGTTTTCTTTACTGTTCCTCTTTTTTGCTTTTGAAGTGAAGGTTGGTCTAGCCTCTTTTCACTATCATGAGCAACAATGCTATAAACATTTTTATACAGTTATTTCCTTGCTTTGGACCATTCTTTAGGACACATTTCCAGGAGTAAAATTTCTGGCCAAAGATGATACGTTCAAGCCATGTGATATTGAAAATGCTCATATTAGTCACTCAAAAAATATAAAAATGTAATTTAAAAAAATGGAAAATGCTGTATTTCGAAGCAACCAGGACAATTGCTTCTGTCTCATGGAAACATCATTGCACCATTTACAGCACAGTAATCAATAAGAAAATACGATCTGATTACCTGTTCTTATCTTCAGAGAAAAATGCTTTGTAAAGTACATTTCATTGTGCTCTTCCAAGTGCTTAAATCATTCTAATATTTTTAAGTTGAGTAAAAGTTTGACTTTTCATCATGGCATCCAAGGCTCGGTACCACTGGTGGGTCTAATTTCCTTGCTCTCTTATGTTAAAATGTGAATACGACTTTCAAAAAATCAGATTGTTCCTTGATACCAAACAATCTACTCTGAAATTCCATATAGTAACTTTTCGTCGTCATCATTACAATTCTACCACTTTAATTCCTTTCATTTGACTCACGTCGTAAGTAATTTAAGTGAATCACCCCTTTGACAATTCTGAACATTGGCCTGTTGCCAGAAGTATGCGGCTCCGTTAATACCACAGGTGTCTACGTCTCAAGGAGTCGTGTTCCTGGGTGTGCCAGTCAGCAATGTCCTTGCTTTTATCAATCATTCTCAATATCTTTTCTTTTCCTTCACAGCCTTTAGGAGAACCCCACCCCCCACCCTCCTCTCTGACTTACCAGGTCCCTACACTCTCCGCATAGTCAGGCCAAGATTTACCCCAGCCTTTATTGACACTATTATGATGGTGACTTCTAGAACTTTTCTAAAGTTACCTTAACAGGAATCATATCCATGTGAATCTGGATAATTAGGAGCCAGTTTTGAGGAAAGATGACTAGTTACAGTATTTGAATTAATTTATTTTAAACGTATTTGGTTAAGAGATGAAAAGTAGCGTTCATAGCCATTCAGGAGGGCACATTGTGTCTCTCTGGTGTTGGCATTGACAGTGTAACTTTGGATATGCACCTCAGCTTCATTATCTTTATAATCAAGGAACTGGACAAGACGGTGATTAGAATCTTGTCCCCTCAGGGAATCCATGGGGGAATCCACATTTCCACAGGTATAATTCTTCTGTTATGTATAGGTGCCATCATCAACCATACCCCTCGCTTGTCAGAGCCCTGAGACAGCTCACACTGGTCAGTTAATTCTCAAGTGTCTCAGTCATGTAAAAACAATCCTAGTAACCATTCAGCTTCATTTTTCAGATCAGGAAACCCAAACCCAAAGATCATTTCTTAATATCACAAATAAGTAAAAAGAAGAAACAATTATAATTTTGACTGGCACTCTTTCTTGCATTACTCAGATGGAATAGATGGCTTAAGTTGGTTAAAATCAGCACCTTCATTTTGTCCTTTAGGCAAGGGTTTATGTTCTATATGGATACTGAAGGAAATTATCTCAGGAGACTATCTTTTGCCTTCCCCCACTCTGGTGTTAGAACTCCAAGGGCACAAACCTTGAGGAAAAGATCTGTAATGTACCTGCACTCTGTTGCCCCCGAGTGGTTAGGAGTCGCAGTAACATGCTAATACACCTCTGGACCACTCTACAAAGTTTCTTCAGCCTGCATTCATTTTGGAAAGGTTATTTTAAAGACCACGGAGCGTTGTGGAATAGATATCCATCTGTTTTTCTGACTATGTACTTTCCTTCCCATATTTTAAGTTTTTGAGAAAGGATGACTTTTTAGCCACCAGTGTTTTGGGTTTGTGCTTACTTCTATTTTAACTCTGCTCATTACTCATAACTTCTTAGCAGTTTTGTGATCAATATAGCATATACATTTGTGACATTCGGAGAGTCTTACATGTGTCTGAAGAGTACAATAAAAATTAGGAAACCCAGTGAAGCAACATGTTGTTTTCATAGAATCCTAAATATTTAAACTTTTTCCCTTGGTAATGTAGCAATCTGTTTTTTTCTCTCTGTTTTAGTGTAGCTAAACCTTTTCTAAGGTTATCAAAAGTGGATACAAATGAGACAAGTTTAAACACATGCTAATATTCAAAACCAGAACCAACCTACTGCTCATAAGGGAACTGGTCTGAAATATCCTAGAATCTCTGATTTTGGTAAAACATATACTTCCCTAGCTCAGATGGGGAGATGCGGTCTGTCCAGAATCCATCTATCTACCTGTGCTTCTGCAGAGGCATCTCTGGAGGATTAGCTATATTTAGTATTCAGTAATTCTTAAGTAAGGATTGACTGTTACTTTAAATACTAATGTGGAAGAATATTTGAAAGAGTTATAAGCACTTCTAGAGTTCTTCAAATTTTTTTCCAGAAAGTGTTAGTTGTAGTATTTGCCCACCAGAATTCGATAAAATTCTCCTAATAACAATCCCATGTTTATGTTTTATAGTCTTATTTTTCCTTCTTAAATTATGATACACAACTTTGCACAAATCTAAAGAATATAGAATATTTATGTTCCACACAAACACATATAACTTAGAAGTACATAATGTAAAAATCTGGCAAAGAAAAAACCTTGAGATAACCTAAAACATAGCATCTCACTGACCATAGGAAATCTATGGGCCATATTAATTGTGGAAAAATCTTCCTTTTTGCTTTGGCTCTGGAAGGCCCTTCAGTGAGTGAGTCTAAGAATCTCTTCAAATCAACATTCCTCTTTCTCTATGGCAATCCAAATCTCTGCCTCAGGAACAAAGTGAGGTCTCATTATGCAAGCAAAAAGCACAAAAATGGCATAAACACAGAGATATCTACATTTTTTTGAAAGTGGAAAAGTAAATTCTCTTTGCAGTCAATTGGTCCCTTAACAATTTGCAAATCATAGTCATGTAATAGACCAGGTAAGGTTAAACCAGGGTTTATCAAATAGAAATGGTGAAAAGACTGGCTTTTGCAGAGACAGAAATCCCCAAACGCCTTGGCTGCCTTCCTCAGAACTGATAGTACCATTTAGAACCCATTCATATGAAAATGCTTTTGATATTACAAAACTAAGGAGTAACAGGGAAAAGTGATTTCCCCTTTAAATTCAATCAGAGATGTCAAAAGACTGGGAGTCCCTATAGTCCA